CCGCCGCCCGCGTCCTCTGCAGCGAGAAAGCTGCTCTGCGTCGCCCAGGTCTGCTGGGCCCCCCAGCAGACCAGGAAGACGCGGAGCAGCTTTTCTCGCCCCGGAGGGCGCGGGCGGAGGGACCGCGGCGCATCTGGACGTCTCGCCGCTCCCGTCCTCCGGGGTGAGAAAAGCCCCATTCGTAACCGCGGGTCTGACATAAGTCGGATCCGCGTAACTCGGGGACTGCCTGTAGTTGGAATGACAGACTTATGTGAAGAAAACTGTGGCTCATTTGTTGTACTGCACTTGGCTCTATCTTCTATCAAACTCTCTCTTGAGTATTTGATCAAAAAACCCAATATAAATATAATTAACATATGCAACAATTATTAAATGCACATTACAATGACTGAATTTTTTTTCCTAAGAACAAACTGGCATACGGTTATATATAAAACGTTGGAGAACATTTTATTCATTGCCTAATAAAATTCTCTAATGAATCTAATATTCTCTAATTCTCCAATGAAGAAAAAAATTCAAATCAGCTACTCGTAAGCCTCTGTGTAACTACAGATTGAACCTCTTGAACCCAGGACTCTCTGGTCCGGCAACATCCATGGTCCCACAGGATCACAGATGTTGCTGGACCAGCGAGCCCTGGCACTGGGAATGCTAGTCAGGGAATCCAGCAGAGGGGAGCCCTACCATCAGACTGGTGAACCCCATCCCCCTCAAGCCCTGTCCCTGCGGAGCCCCGTCTGGGTGCAGCTATAGCAGGGCAGCTGTGGCAGAGCCAATGTCCCTGGGACGCTCCGGCTGGGCAGTGAAGCAGTGGGACTAGCAAGTCCCATCTCCATGGAGCTCCGTCCCAGCATGGCAGCAGCGGGGCAGCCATGGAGCTCTGTCCCAGGGGAGCCCTGGTGGGACGCGGCAGCAGGGCAGCCGCAGAGCCCTGTCCCCAAGTAGCCTCGGCCGGGTGATGCAGAATTGGGCCACAGAAGATGGGGATCTACGTTCCCAGACAGCCCCAGCCAGCTGGTGGCAGCATGCCGAGCCCAAGCCCTAGAGCAGCAGGGCTGGAGCCCAGTGGCAGCGGGCTAGAGTGGAGACAGCCAGAGGGAAGGGGCAGTATCCTGGGAAGCCGGTGGCTGAGGAACTCCTGGATCCAGCAAATTCCCTCATTCGGGACCGTTCAGATCCCAAGGGTGCTGGACCAGGGAGGTCCAACATGTATTTGTCTGAGGGTTTACTGTTTCCATCTAAATTACAGTTACTTCAAAACAGAATTAAAATACAATATATATCTTTCACCATCACCACCAACCATAGACATGAATTTGATGAGGCTTTTTCAGGGATTTAATTCATAGGATTTTTGGTAGGTGTGTATGGGAACAGGGTTTTGTTAGACTTCAGGGATTAGACGGACAATAAGATTGTGTTATGAAATTGCCAGAATACCAGCAGCTCTTTTGTTCTGACTTTGTCCATAAAGGTTAGGATTTGGAATAGTAACCCAATGCAGATTATTCACTAAGTGCACTCCATCCCACCCCACTGAAAGCATACATTACTTACCTTACATGTGATATCACTATTTAACTGACACCTGCTTAATGAACTTCAATTTGAACAACATTTGTTCTACCCTCTGGGTTTTCAAAGACAGCAAGCTAACGTAGGTTGGAAGGGGGATCTGTGGTGCAATTTCAAATCTAGCTGCAGAGCAGGACCTTTCCCCCCCAGTTTTTTCATGCCACACTGTGAAGCTGTGTTGCCACTCCACTTTACTGCTGCAAGTAAGTACCCAAGAGATTGTTGGAAAAAAAGTGGAGAAGAGGAACCTGAAAGTTCTTGCAACAATTTTTATTTTAGAACAGCTGTCAGGGAATGTTCATCTGTTCTATACTCTGGAAATAAGGATAGAGAGGGCAGGCACGCTAGCCAGTTTCCTCCCTCACCCAAAGGCTTGCCATTCATCTTAGGCCAAAAATGGTTCTGTGCTAATACATCCAAACAATTGATACATACAACATTCTGTATTACCATGTTTAAGATTAGATATTGCTTGTAGCTACATTATTCATTTAACAAAGATATGCAGTGATTCCAACATGTAACAAATCTCAAGATTTTTAAAAATTCTCTGAAGGAGCTCTTTTGAAAATGCTAATTCGATTAGAGAGACAAGATGGGTGAGGTAATAGCTTATTACAATGTATAACCCACTAACAGCCCCTCTCCCAAGCTGCCTCCCTGCACCTTCTTCCTTTCCCCCTTTACTGAAGGGTAATAAAGAGCCTCTTCATCTTGAGTGGTTCATTGAAATATATGTTAACTAATTACGTTAAACAATCTGCTCCATTTAAATGTGACACTCTTAAAGAACATTTCTCGGACCTGAAGAAGTGTCCTGCATAAGAATGAAAGCCTGTCTCTCTCTCCAGTGGAAACTGGTCCAATAAAGGATACTATTTCACCTACCATATGTCTCTAATATCTGGGCTCAATACAGCCGCAATAACACTTAATTCCT